GGGGGGAGGTGGGGGCCGAGCCGTGTGCTCACCTCTCTGGCTGGCTGAGGCGCTGGCCATCTCCTGCTTCGAGAGGGCTTTCCTCACCTCGCAGTTGTGCCCGTTCACAGTGTGGTATTTCTGAACTGCAGGGAGAAACAGGAGGGGGGGAGATTTAGGGAAGGAGGGGGGACAAAGCCAGGTGCCCCTCCACACACACTTTCGGCGCACACCGGACTTACTGACTATCTTGTCGACAGAGTCGTGGTCGTCGAAGGTGACGAAGGCAAAGCCCCTCTTCTTGCCGCTCCCGCGGTCTGTCATGATCTCGATGACTTCGATTTTGCCATATTGGCCAAAATAGTCTCTCAAATGATGCTCCTCCGTGTCCTCCTTGATGCCGCCCACAAAGATCTTCTTGACTGTGAGGTGGGCTCCGGGCCGCTGGGAGTCCTGCGGGGATATCAACGGCGTGGGTTTGGGGTCAGGGAAGCCCCCTGTATCAGCCCCCAAAGCAGCCCTGGGCTCTGCCAGCCCTATCCAGCGGGGTCTGAGCAACCCCCCAACTCCGAGCTCCCGGGGATGGGCACAGCTCCCCGTACCTCTCTGGATACGGCCCTCTTTGGTTCAACGACTCTGCCGTCCACTTTGTGCGGCCGGGCGTTCATGGCGGCGTCGACCTCTTCCACTGAGGAGTACGTGACAAAGCCAAAGCCTCGTGAGCGTTTGGTGTTTGGGTCCCTCATCACCTGGGAGGACAGAAACACATCAGGGCACGGTGCAAAGCCCCCCCCAAAAGGCAGCTGACCCCCTTCATGGGGATGTGGCTCCTTTCTCTCAGCTTCTCTACCTCTCGCTCCTGCCCTTGCAGGCGCAGAGCGACTGTTCTCCTCGTTACATCTCAAACCCTGTCAGCGCTGGGTCACCCGGGGCTGACGCTTGTCACCCACCCCCCCATGGATGTGCTGTGAGCAGAGAGGAGCCCAGAGACGAGGTGGGGTCATGGTAGGGGTTTGGGGGGCCTTACCACGCAGTCGGTCAGGGTGCCCCATTGCTCGAAGTGGCTGCGGAGGCTCTCGTCTGTGGTTTCAAAGCTGAGGCCGCCAATGAAGAGCTTGCGGAGCTGCTCAGGCTCCTTCGGAGACTGTGGGCAAGCGGTGACAAGGGGGTGAGAGGGGCTGGACACCCTTGCCTCCCAGCTACAGATATGCTCTGCCACCCCCAAACCTCCTATGTGGGACTCCCCCACATTCTCCCAGCGCCAGGGAGGCCCTGTCACCCCAAAAAGCCCCCCCTGGGAAAGGCTCCCCCCCCCACAGCTCC